TTTTGGACAATACCTTACAAGGTTTTATTCACAAATTCAGTAAGTCTACCTCCTTGGAATGTATTTATTTTCAGTGTAATATCTCAAACTATATTGAGGTTGAAATTCTGACATATACATGAGAATCATCTTAAGAGGGATATATCAGTTCCCGTCTTGCTCGCGGACTACCTTTGGTAAATCTTCTACCACATCTGCATCATAATAAAGTAATGCTTATCATTGTTACAAGAATTCAGTAGAGGAAGATACATTCAGGAAACATATGCTCTTATCATGGATATGCAAACACCATAGGTTCACTTTGACAAGGTTGGTATAGTGTAATGCAAATCATTTAAGATGTATACATTTTACAGATAGTCCTACAGGGAAACTGTATGTCAGAGCAACTCTAGCATTAAGGTGAATAAGGCATACAGCAGCTCCTAAAAGGAAACTGTCTATGACATACAAAAACTCCTATATGGAAGAAAAGTATGTCATACATAAACCCCTATAAGACAAAAATATACAGCAAATAGCAGGTCTCATGAGAGTGATGAGCACACAGATTCAGTCCCCTTCAGAAAGTGTCACTAGTGAGCAACAGGACTATTGGCTCCCATATACTTGTTGGTAAGCTGCATTTCACTCCACTTGTGATTTTTTTTTTCCTTTTTTATGAACATATACACAAGTAACATAAAATAAGGTTTGTCACACCTTAAATTATTAAACTTCATGATATATCTTGCAATGCTAATGAGTCTACTATAATTAGTAATGACCACAATTAAGGGTGATGCTGGTAGAGCCCGTGTACAATAAGAAGCAACAGGCAAGCACATGGGACATACAACTGGGTTAGTGAAATAACTGTCCACCCTGGTATGCTGAACATTTGGAAGGAACACAGCAGACACTGCAAGAGTAAATGGTTGGATGCAGTGGTGTCTGCAAGCTCAATCATTCTTTATAAAGTATTGTCATCTTAGGGACTAGAGAACAGAACCGTGCAACTGTTACCAGATCATTTCACACTATTCCAGAAAACATTCTACCTCTCATAATGTATATGCAATTATGACATTCATTGGCTCCTACTACATACTTTAAGGGAAAGTTTCTGAAGAAAAGACCAGTCAGGTGGGAGGGTCTGATGAGAGGACCTCCTCATTATGTATCTCTTAAATGTTAATGAAACATGATAACCAGATTGTATTGTCCCTATAATATACAAGGAAGGAACTAACTCCAGTCTATGGAGCTCTGTATAAATGCTGTAATACCCTCTTTATTATCATAATAATAATTATTTTTTTTTACACAAACAGATAATACACTGATATTTCCAACAGCAGGGTTGATACTGTGACCAATGTATCAGGAGGCTCATGAAAAGATTAGGTTGTTGAAGAGGTCAGAGACTGATGAAGAAGTCAGTGGCTGAGGCTTTGCTTATACCTGGGATTGTCCATTTCTCACTTTGTAGGTACAGAGAGTGTATTGGGGTGGCTTCCTCCAGATGTGTGGCGGCTACGGCGACCAAGCTTTGATCTGGCAATAAAGAGATTTGTGTGATCTATATTGAGGAGACCTAATTTGCATACATTATCATATATGATGATATCTTCTGAAATGCCTAAATTTCATTCATTAACTTCTCAAAAAGGCAAAATATGAATAGCAGATAGAAAGAAAATTACATTAAAATATGATGTAAAAAATATATTTCAAAATGGACCTACTTCACCACTGACAATACACCATACATCATAACATGATCAATGCCTGACAGTTCTTGGCTTACCTGATCTGCCCTGCCAGGAGTGGATTGATAGCATAAAGCCAGTCGTGCACTTCTTTGTCCCCGAGCGTCTGGAGAAGGAAGCCTCGCTGTTTTGTCACCACACTGTAAAGAGAAATAACTGATGAAGTTGTCTAGTCTTCATACTATGTCTTGGTGTCGTACAGATGAAAGATTTTTTTTCTCTCCTCTTCCTTATGTGCACCAGGTTATCCTTTATTGTATTATCTTTATCTTCTCATGATAGTCTGATCCTATGAAAGGAGCCTATCCCCCCGCAAGAAAAAAAAGAGAGCGAGAAAAGAAAGAAAGAAGAAGAAGGGAAAAAAATCACATTACTTTTTTCAACATTACTGACTATATGAAAATGAATTATTAGATCAATCAATGAAACAAGTGAGGAAGAAATTTTTCCAACTAATTCAGCCCCCTAAAATGACTTCATTCATTAAAGAATGTTCCAAATATGTAATGTTCTCGGAAGTACACAATTTGGACATGCAAAGGCCCCAGGGCAGCCCTCAGTAATAGCAAACAAACCCTAACTTAGAATACTAAATGAATGACATAAGCAAAATATCAAGTATTTTTTTTATATTTGTCATATTTTCTATTATATGCAGTGGCCCCTGGATTCAAGGGCCTCCAAGCAACTACCCAGCTTGCCTATTCTTAACCCCAATCGTTTTATAGCCTTGTCTCAAATGAAATACAGAAGATCTGATGATCATCCAAACTGAATCTTTAATCTTGCCAAGTATACACAATCAAAATCTCTAGTTCCTGTCTAAACCTAGCTTGAACTCCAGCTGAATGAATGTGCTCAAAGTCAGTTCTAATGCAAGGTGGTTTATTCAGCATTAAACAAATAGCTGATAAATTGGTTACATTATTGTGCTTAAACAGTGAAATACTTTTCATATTTAGCTTGCCACTAAGTGCAATATTGGTGTTGCATTTCAGTAATTCTAATTACTCTCTTTTATTTTCATCTTGTATCAGTGATAGCGATTATCGTATATTTTAAATTTTACTCAGCTGTGTAGTCTTGTAAAATAGATACAGACCTTGGTACAACTAATCTGGGTAGCATTCAAATAGCACTCAGAATAATTTTTGAAAGAACTGGGGAAGCAGCTTCACTGTATCATTATTCAAAATACTCTCTTGATCAAATCTTCTCCTGTATGGAATCTGGGTCCTAAATAACAAAATTTATCATTCTGAAAAGCAACATTTTCATCAGTGTCATCAGCATTTAAGCAATCAAGCCATGCTATCTTTTTCCACACTGTTCTTGAAGCTGTACTTTTTGTCCAGTAATGTGTAGAAAACATGGACTAATATACCTGCTGTTCTCCATCCTAGTTACAACCGAGGGAAAAGGGGAAAATATATTGGTCTTCGTCTATACATCACTTATTAAATAAACATCAACAGACATAAACATGTACAGTTAAATTATCAAGAAAGAGAAAGGGACAGAAGTTTCTTTCTCACTATGCCTGTGTCTCACTTTATTTTCTCTTACATTTGTGTATTTGTTGTAAACATACAAGTATCCATTATTGCTGTGCATTATGTGCATTGATAACATCTGTTTAAAATAATTTTTTCTATTAAAACATGAAATACTTGGAATGATAATTAAACATAATTTATTCTGAATTAAATTCCTACCTTTCAATACTGCCAACCAATAAAATTTATCCTTTATGATCGACAAGCTAAGCAAAACTAATACACTTGTTGTTGCTTGAATTTTGTGCTTGAAGATTATTTAAGTAAAGGCAAATATATATAAATATCTTCAAGTATAAGGCAAATCTAAGGTATCTTTACAAATATCCTAAAAATAACACACTAGTCATAATAGACACATGAATATTAAGGAGAGCAATATGAACTTGAAGATTGACACCATATTTTACTATAACCACTTACATCTTCAAAATCTTCAAGAGTAGATTCAAATACACTTAAATACTCTCTAATTTTTAAAGTTATTACCCGATGCTTGAGATACCCACTTGTAATAAGAAGGTTGAAAGTAAAGGCTTATTTAGCACTCTTTATGCTATAGGAGAAAGTTGAAACATCATTAGACTCTATATCAAGGCTCAATATCAAGACAATAAAAAAAAAAAATCATTATAATAATAGTAAAAATAATAATTATAATAATAAATATAATAATAACAATATTAATAAAAAATAAAGCCTGGGATTCTACCTTCTTAAGAAAGAACAAGTTTTGCCTTAGTATGAACTACTCAGACTGAAACCCTCATACAGTTTCAGTTTCCTTAATTGGCAATATTTGAACATGTCAAAACTCCAGTCAGATGTTCATAACCAAAACCACCTCAAACAGTCAAAATCTCCCAAATCTGAAGGTCTTGAATGCCCTGCCGCTACCATGACTCACCTGAAGGAGTTGCGCACTCGCACCATGGCCTGTTGGTCCTCAGAATATTCAATCTGAGCTGTGGCAAGGTTGATCAAGCCACGCTCTACTGGGTCACGCTCGTCTCGGAAGATAAAGACGTAGGGTCGCCTTACCACCTGTTAGTCAAACAGACAGAAACTGAGGCAAAGTCTTTAAGAAGAGTTTATGACATCTTTATTAACTGAAGATACAGTTGCATACTCCTATTCCTTATGGATGCATGCTGACATGAGGAATATTGCAATAATTTCTTCCTTCAAGGGAGCCTTGAAAGGATGTGGCCAAGAAAAATGTCTTGAAAAGCGAGAGACCAACCCACTTACCACCCATCTTTTGATCCAATTGTTGGTGCGGTCATCTAAGACATTAAGATAGCCCTTCCGACTGACCACAGGAGATATACGGATTTCCTCAACTTCTGGCACGAAGAGTGGCATTGGTCGGCGTTCCACCAGGGGAGATGAGCCCTGTGAGTCCCCAGGACTGGCCAAAGGAGAGCCTGGGGGCACAACAGCTGATCCCCCAAGGGAGATATGGAGGTCTGGAACTGGTGCTCGAGGCCGCTCGGGAGAGGCCAGTCTGGTTAAGTGGGAAAGAAACAGATCAGAGCCATCCTTCAATCTCACCACACTAATAAAATAAACTTCAATACTTTTTTAAAAATCATAATAATCTTTTTTACTTCTATTTATTTTTCTTTAAAGAAGAAGAGAGAGAGAGAAAAAAAAAACACATTTCATCATTCTTTATGATTAAGAGATATGAAAAAGAAAAAGAGTGTTGTTTGATACTACATCTATAATTCTCAATAAGAAAAAGAATATTAAATAAATGTCATAGAAAAGGCAGTTGATGCTTACTCTGTAGAGGTCGTGGAAGAGCAGGAAGAGGTGACCGAGGTAGTGAGGGCATCTTGCTCATCATTAGGTGTCTGTGCTGGAGTTCCTTGCTTAGCATGTGTCTGTGCGGATCGGCCCTGCAAAGGTATTTACTTTAGTGTACCTCTAATACATGTGTGACGTCTATGTCAACATTTTTCATAATCAACATATAAATATGCCTTTCAGGATATATCCTGAACTATATATTCTCCAATTTAGTTTTGGTTTTAGTTTTCAAAATCTTTTTTTTTCTTAATTATCATTATTATTATCCTTTTAGCAAGCTACAACTTCTGCGGTAACCACTTACCTGCATAAGCCTAATGAATTTGGATGCTGTATCCTTCTCTGCTTCGCTCATGTTTTCAGAGTCTGTTGAGGGCAAGTCTCTGGAGGAACAGCGTGCCAATACAGCACGCGCGTCACAACCGGCCTTGGCTGCTTGATTAGCCACCTCCTGCATACGAGGAAGTTGGTTAGGATGCTAAAGGGAGAGAAGGGAAATTCAGCCTCCAAGCACTAGTGCGAGACCAATGAGGAGCTGATCAAAGTGTATCTTCAGTTTGGCCGAAGATACAAGAACTTGTGAAGCTTTAGTTTTTCTTTTAGCACTGAGGTGAATAAAAAAAGGTGAAACTAAATTCTGAACAGATGATGTGATATAACACTGCAGTCTTTACAAGTCAAAAAATGTCTGTGAACAATGACACTGTAAGCTTAAAAGCAGGTGTTTGAAAGTCTTTTTTTTATCTTTAATTCATATATTGATATACCATGCATTGTTTCTGTCTAGTTCTTGATAAACATCCATGTCTCTGTAACTACTTTCACTAAATTGTGAAAAACAGCAACTAAGCAGATGCATATTTACAAAGAGGACAAGCAGAAAATTCCATTCCTTAGTCTTATGTAAGCAATGATTTAATCAGTAATTGACTGTTGATCTCAAGCAATAAAAAAGCAACATGCAAGAAGTAAATCCTACTAACAATAAGTATATTTGAAAACAAAATGCAGAAAAAAGCATGACTATGCTAAATTTGACTTCTCTTCCAGTTGACCCATAAAGCAATGCTAAAACTAATATTGAAAATATAATAAAAAATTTGTCTACAAATCTATGGTAATCCAAACCAAGTTCTTGGTATGATGCTACATACAGCACATTAGAAAATAAATCTACATTCACAATGCTACTAATATAATGTTAAAGATCTGTATGACTACTGACATTATCTTTATCATGACCATTAATATCATTCCTGTTATTATCTTCTAAACAAAGACAATACAAAAAAACAAAAAAAAAAACACTAAAGATAATGGTAATAATAAAACTAATAAATTGTGGATAATAATAGTAGTCAAAATGTGTGAAATTACAAACTTACTTGAAAGGCAGCATCTATATCTAAAATTCTATTGGAATTCAGGCAAAATGAAAGTTCCAATCATTACACACTGCAAGATACCCACCTTTTCACTCTTGGTGTAATCATGGTGGTGGCTATAAGGGATGGGAGTTTTTCCGAGGCCAAGTTTTTCCCGCAGGAGGAGGGAGTGCCGTGTGCGCTCCACTTGGGTCAAGCGCGTGATCTTCTCAAGCTCCCACTGGTGTTCAAAGATGAGGGAGTCTCCACGTGGCCTCCAACCATGCAGGTTTTCTTCGCCACGGACATACGTGGAGCTGGTGTCCAGGACCCGTCGCTGTCGTCGCTGTAAGCCTGGAAGAGCAATGAGCGAGTGGTAGTGTGGGGAATGAGACACTGTGTGACCTCCCATATCCAGATGAATAAATTTCACAGAGGATACTTTATGTACATTTTATCTCTTTATTTTTTAACCATATCTTTTCTATAAAAACTTGATACATATGAAGAGAGCTGGTCACTGGTCAAAGAGAGTACAAAGGTCGGTGTCATGCCCCACTCGTCTCAGGTCAAAAATAAAAAGAAACCTTGTAAATGAGGTACTGAAGCGACAATGCACCAGAAAAAGACAAACATATTTGCACACTGCTTAAGTGATCATATCTCTCAGCCACTGAGACCCAGTCAATATCTAATTCTCTATGACCACAGCCAATGATGTCACAGGGTGAACCGATGATTCTAATCACATTACACTGCAAGCATAGACAGATTGATTGGAGCTCATAGAGGATAATTTTCTTTTTGTAAAACTAGAAGCCTAAATGTCATATTCCTAGTCAGCAATAAGAGCATTACTCTTGCATTAATGTTCTGAAGTGACATTTTGCTATTAACTTCCATTTTACACATAATGTAACTTACTCTATCCTACTGTATAAATCTCTTAGGTATATGTAGGAAGTATATATACCCCATTATAAGTAAATTTTGCATCTACAGCCAGCTGCC